CTTTCGTCCATTATCATATCACATATAATTCTTCACGCAGTTTTTTTATGGGACGCGATCAATAACTTTTTCGTATGATACTATCAATATGTCGAGTTATGCATCTGAATAGATGTCGTATGTCTGTTGCAGTCTATTTAATGCAGTACGAAGCACAGCATTTATGAAGATCGATGTTTCTATAAGTGCGAAGTAAAAGTCCGTACTTTGTGACGGGATGAACTTAAGAACGGATAATAAAAATTTCTTTCGAAAGCGAAAATAAAGTCTTGCAATTCGCTTCTATACAGAAGATCTCATTTATTTACTATTAGCCCGATCGAAAGACAAAATTTTGCAAGCTTTGTTTTTCGAATTGATTAAATCGAAAATAGCCAAGAAGAATTGATGCTAATCTTTTTATGTAAGCAGTTTTATGGGTTACACTTGTAACGACAACCGATGAAAGATCAGTTCACAATATTCTTCAGAAACATGCTAAATAGTATTGACAACAGTTTTGTAGTAATACTAATCGTCATACATACTTTTCAATTTCTTTCAACTTGGATTGGTTGATTGAAACAGCTTTTTAAAAAAGCACAATGTTAGTATTTTTTATGCAAGAGAAAGTCATCTATCATTTAAGTTTAGATATTGACACGAAAAACAACGAACACTATGTCCAATAGAACATTATCTTTATGTTACTGAGTGATGGATAGAAAAGTTAAATTAGTAAGAAAAAAAAAAGTTATATGCTCTATTAGCCTTGGTTAATGCTTGCTTCGAATCTTTGTCAAAATAATTGATTTTCTTTTTAAATTAGGCACTATGATGGAATAATAATCAATGAAAAAAGTATGTTTCTGTGTATATTATTTAGAGTAAGAGAATGATAAGTTTATAACACTCGCACATCGATAAAAAGTCTCGCTGACAACAAAAAAGAAAAGTATGCTAATAAAATGTATCAATGTTTTTGTTATTTATTTATTTATTTATTCGACTGCTGAAGCAATAACTTGCACAGCTGATTCATCTGTCGAACGTATTGTTAATTGCATGGTAATAGCTTGTGCTCCTGGATATACTGTTGTACCACCCAATGCCATTTTTGCTCGAACAAGTACATCATGTCCACCACGATAGACACCCGCTAAATAAAGTGCATGTGATGCTTTGCCTTCTGGAATTTTGTCTGATCGTTCACAAGCTTGCATTCCCATATAATTTATTATTTTCTTCACACATTCTATAATAAATATAAGATGAAATGAAAAATAAAATATAATAATTTTATAATACTTTCAAGTGTTGGAATTAATAATGTATATGTATTTTCAAGTTCATTTTCAGCTCCAATTTCTTCCCATGAAGCAGACCAATTTGGTTTAAGTACTTTTTGTACATGATCACTAACTGTTATTTCAATATCTTCAAGCTAAAAACAAAAGACAAAACGCTATGACAAATAAATAATCGAAATTAATAAAAATACAAAGCACAAATTCAATAAAAAAAAAAGAGGAATCAGTAGAATATTTACTTG